TGGCGGCCGCGCAAGCAAACGATCCTGTCTGTACAGAAGCACCACAATCTTCGTCCCTTCAGTGCCAGGAAGTACCCCTAGCTACCAGGTCAGGTACTATCCTATGTGATATTTCTACCGGTCTTCCTCGACCCATCGTACCCTCTACCTATCGCCGTCTCGTCTTCGATGCCCTTCATGGATTGTCCCTTCCAGGTATCGCAGCAACATTACGTCTCATCGCTGCACGATACGTCTGGCCGTCCATGAATCAAGATGTTCGTATGTGGGTAAAGCAATGCTTACAGTGTCAACGATCAAAAGTGCACAGGCACGTAGCTGCCCCCATTGGCACGTTCGCTACGCCTGATGCTCGCTTTGATCACGTTCATATAGACATTGTAGGACCATTGCCACCATCGCATGGGTATGATCACATACTCACGTGCATTGACCGTTTTACAAGATGGCCCGAAGCTATTCCCATCACGTCTATCACGGCGGAGACAGTTGCTCACCGCTTCGTAGAACGATGGATAGCATTGTACGGTTGTCCCTCGGCTGTCACGACTGACCGAGGACAACAATTTGAGTCCGCATTATTCTCCTCACTGACCAGGCTGCTTGGTACAGAACGCATACGCACTACCGCCTACCATCCAGCATCGAATGGTTTAGTCGAAAGGTTTCATCGTCAACTTAAAAGTGCTCTCCAACACACGAAAACGACAATTGGTACGAAACCTTACCGCTCGTTCTCTTAGGCATCAGAACGAGTTTGAAGGCAGATATTCAATGTTCCGCCGCTGAACTTGTATACGGCACGACATTGCGTCTGCCTGGGGAATTCTTCACACCACGGAGCAGTAATGATTTCGGTAAATCAGACTACGTCCATCGACTGTCTGCATTTATGCGAACGCTGTCTCCGGTGTCAACTCGAATACAACATCGACAGGTCGCTCTCCCTCGAGAGTTATCTACCTGTTTACATGTTTTCATACAAGTAGATTCGGTACGCAAACCTTTGTAACGGTCTTACGAAGGACCTTTTCACGTGATCTCTCGTCACGAAAAGACCTTTAAGGTTGATCGACACGGCCGCGTCGAGATCGTCAGCATTGATCGTCTCAAACCAGCACACGTCGATGACATTGCCCTACCCGATAACCTGAGACTCAATGCTCGACCTATCAAACCTTCTAGCGGGATCTCTACGTCTACCTCGGATCCCACGCTAGATACGTCAGAGACCTCGTTCTCACGTCCCGGTCAACAGCACGCGTCATCTGCACCATCTACGGACGAAGCTTCCGTCTCACGTCCAGATCAGCAGACCACGCCGCCCTTGACCTCGGATGAGATCAAAGACTCACGAAGTACGAACGAGACTACCGTCTGACGTTCTGGTCGCCGAGTACGATTACCCGTACGCTTTCGCGACTAACCGCACAGTCAATAACGGATACGGTGTAGGATTATTCCTATACTACACACATGCTACACTTTTCTTTTTTTGATTTTTTTTTGTATCCTGAGCCCACGCCTCCGACCATCGCCCGCTTGATAACGTCGACTTCAGTCAACTTTGGCAAAAGCTGGTTTGGCCACCCACGCTCTAGTCAACGCACTCAGTCGATTATCTGGTCTCGAATTCGCCTGGCATACGCTTGGTCGTTATTGTCGCTTCCGGTTTCTTGGCTCAACGTGGTTTCGGCCTACGTCTGCAGCGTTTTCTGGCCCGCATCACTACGAACGCAATCATCAGATCCTGGACACAAACCACTCTGGTGTGGTATGCCAACTCGACCAACAAATACAGCACACTTCTCCTGGTACCGTTCTGCGGAAAAGACCTTCGTTGGCAACTCGAGGATCAACGATCACTTCCTGTTCCGCCAATTTCCTCTGTCCTACAACCGCAATTCCGCCGATCAGTCCCACGAATTAAACCGCTAACTATCGAAAGTGCAAACCCTTTCTAGCGAGGGGCTCCTTTAGTGACCTAGTTTTGTCAACAGAACGCGACTGGTTCGATGAAAACAATTATTATTATAACCAATCGTACCAGTGACTGTTTTACTGTGCTCGTTTGTTTAACTGTGCTCATAACAGCCATTTTAGTCTTCCATTGTATTCAATTTGCTTCTACGCCGTTTTCGACTACGCACGTGTCTTTTCTTGCCGATCGCACCTGTACTCCTTTGGCACGATCTCGGTATTCTTTCGATACCACGAGATTGCCAACAAATATATTACGACTACTACTATCATCTGCCTTCTGATTTTTGGCCTACCGGAATCTTATTGGTCTATTGGCACGTAGTCTTGTAGCGGTGTTCATATTCAAGCTCAACTCGACACCACGCTACAATCCATATAGATAAGATATGTCTGTTTTTGTATCTGTTAAAATAAAAATCTCAAAATATAAGTTAGAATATATTTTGCCGAAAATTTTAAGAATATAAATAGGACAATAGTTCACACCACGTAGGGATTCTCGGGTGTTTTGTCGGGGTGTTTTATGACTTTAACTTGACATGTCAATATGGCGATCTAAAATGGAGCAGTTGTTTGAATAAATTTATTCAGGTTATTAAAGTGGATTAGAGCCTACGAACGGACGTAAAATAGTCATAAAGTTAGTGCAAATAGTTCTTTCTTCTTTCTGTGGAGCAACTAACTTATCCGCATTACATTAGATCAGAATCACATCATTTTGTATCTTGACTTGCCCCAACTTGTAACCGTGGGAAAGAGATTCATGTCTTCCGCTTTGTAAAAACATTTGAAGAGCAGGCACAATCTTACCGACAAAAGAATACATTTGTTACAAAGGCAAAAAGTGAGCTTAGAGTGACCACACCTTCATGTTCGAACCAAGCAGTTTCAACACTGGTCCTTCAGAAGAGGTTTTGGCCCTCACCATTCTTTATCTGCCATTCAGCTTCGAGAGATGAAATGTCTAAGGTAAAGTGCACTCAACTTGTAGGATCGTATGGCTAGAATTAAGTGTTTCTTCAGACCCACGGATCGCTCGTCGGATATTTGTTCCTTAGGTAGCGAGAACAACAACAGAAATCTTGCCTGGAGAATTTATGCAGGATAGAATGCTTCCCTTGATGGATTTATTTTCTATTTACGCTGACCGAAAGCACAAAAGTTGACAGAACCCGACCCGAGGTATCGTAGTTTGAAAATTGCAAACAAATTAAAAAGGGATAATAATGCAGAGGCGTGCACGTAAATGCAACTAACGAATAGGGACAATTGGAAGTTGTTCTTCGCAAATAAAGTTCCTTAAAAGAGGCTTGTTTAACTTGCTAGTTCATTCTACAGTAATCAAGGAGACATAGCATGATGTCAAACGGTTCTCATTAGTCGAAATTCTACGATCAAAAAGTTAGTCAAGTGTACAAACTCGGTGAAACCAACATGTTTTCTCGTGGCATATTGCCCTGTTATTGATCGGGTGTGCTTACTTACTTACTCACGCCTGTTAATCCTCGTAAAAAAGGATGGAGCGCTCACCAGCATTCTCCATCCATCCCTGTCCTGGGCAATACTTTCCAGCTCTTTCCATTTATTATTCATCCTTTTCATATCTGATTCTATCTCCAGATGTAATGTGTTTTTTTGGCCTTCCTCTTTTCTGCTTCCCTTCAAGGTTCGGTATAAAATTATTCATGGACGGAAAAATATTAGATTATTATCGTGATTCAGCGCCGAGTAGATGTGATAAAATAAGTCCAAAGTATGATGGAATCTCACTTCAAACCACGGGTTGGAATTTATGTGAAAAGTGACCATTGTATTTGATGAGAGAGGACACTGGAAGATAGGATATGCAAAACGAATACTAAGTCTGATGGGCTTTTGTATATACCAGCAGTGAATCATCGATACCCCCAGGTATATACCCAGGTATATTTAAGAAACAAAAGAGAAATTCATATACGTTATAGCTAAATATTGTTCTGAGTTTTTAAGAATGTGACAAGGTCTCTCGAAAAGCCATCGGACCACTTCAACCAGCAGCAAGTTACCCTATCTGACCATTCAGAAAAAGCAAACGGTTTGGATACAGTCAATCTTACTGTTCTGTGTCCCTAACTTCTAGGTGTTACCACCAAGATTTGTATGGTGACTGAGATCAAGTAGGTATCAAAGAGAGTGCCTTTGAGTGATTAGAATGTTATGAGCCATTAAACAGCGACTTATAAGACGCCCATACTCTGACAAGTAAGGCTCTATTGCTTCAAGATTATCCTCATAGGATTCATATTTTGAGGCTCGACGTTGAACATATTCCAGTTTATTCGCTTTTTTCAGAATAGGTGAGAGACACTTCATTCCCATACTCGTAATTGGGCCGGTTTGATTTTTATAAATGTGGTGCAACGGACTATTGCTAAACTTACCAAAAATCCCCATCAGGGATATTAGTTCAAGGTTTCCTCAGAAGGGGAATGACGTTTGACCACAAGGTGCCAAGACTTTCAGACAATTTTAGACTTGAAAGTGAATTTACCTAAATTGTATACGTAGTTTTCAACAATTCCCAGAAGAAACTACTTCACAAAAAGGTGTCACTGATATTCAGGGCGAGACAACATACTTGTCTACAACACCTATATAACTATGAGATTTTATACCCAGTCAAACCAGACGTCAGAGATAAAGAAGTTCGAAGCATATGTGTACAGTAGTCGATATGTCGGTAAGTGTGTGATATAAGCTGGTTGGTTGTTGAGAGTGGTGTTAGGAAGGCGTACACATTGATAATTTGGTGTGGACGAGTGATCATGAACCTTCATCTAGGGTGTGTGTACAGTGAAACTAATTAAGTTGGGAACAATGTCAAAGACATGCAGAACCATTTACTACGGGTATATATTTTCCGCACACCATGCTGAAGTGTTAATTGTTATCCCTTCAATTTCGAAATTCAGCAACTATAAGTTTATATAGGCTAGCCTCCTGTTGTCGAAAATTTTGGATATTGCGGGCCTTTTTTAAAATATTTTAGAACGTGGCTGAGGTAACAATGCTTTTGTTCATTGGTTCTTGAGCATTTGTAATAGTCATTAGGACAACTTGAAAGTTCAAGGTTTGGATTGGAGCACGTGGGCGCTCGTCCAACGTTTGGTTTGGTATTAGTGTTTTGAGAAATTCAAATTGTGTGTTCTGATTCAACAAAAGTACCTATTTTGATCCAAAGAATATTTTCTGAGCTTAAAATTAGCCAGACTACTTTTCTTTTTGAATTCTACTCGAGTTAATAGTTAACTGTAGTTTCGCCTCAGCTAATGAGCTTCTGTCAATGTTTTATCTTTTATTGGGTGTTACAATTATTACTACTGGTTAACTAGTTATTGTCGTAATATCGAGTAACCTCATCAAATCCGAAAACAACTTTGTATGGATAATGGTGTGGTGTTCATGGCTTACAATGAGTAGTCGACTTTGTGACTTTGCATTTGGGTCTAGTTACTCTTCTAGAAGAGGGTCCTGAGTGCAAACTGCCCTGAAATAGTTCACCATGGCCCCGTGCTTTGTCCTGGTCTCCGACCTTCATTTATGATGCGCTCCCGTAATTAGATTGGGAATCCAATGTTGTGTTCTTGTTCTGCAATTTATATATAAGAACAGTCTCTTCGACTAATTGATTACAAACTGGAACAACCCCTTTTCGTACTTTTTTCCCGAGTTGCCAAGTCTGTGCTTATACTGTTAATTCGAACTGGCTTGTGGCGTTTCATCGTATTTGATGTGCCAAGCTTGATGGCTATGTTTCAACCTTCTTTGGCCTTAATGAACGTCGAATACTTCGGCTTATCCAGGGATGGCCGTGCTTTTCTTATTTGGCAATGTCCATGGTATAAATGGTTGAGTGATTGATTGTACAACTGCCGGAAATGAGTTCATGCACATCCTACTGATGTGTTGGAGTCAATTTCCCAGTATTCGATCGGGACTGGAGAGTTGATCGGCTTCATATCTGCGTTTCATATATTAGGACGAGCCTGTTCAACTGCTTGATGGACAGTAAAGGCCATGGAAGTGAATTTAATCGTATGATCACTCCTTCTAGTAGGTAGAAGGCACATTATACGATTAGCGTCATCACCTTATCTGAAGACTAAGTCCAATACAAATGAGGGGTTTGTTAGTTCATATGTGGTTGGTTCTCCAATGTGTTGGAATAAATCTAGGGCGATTGCCGTTCCTAACAATTTGCAATAGAACTATGTTTTTGATGACTCTACTTCTAGGTTTCCCCAATTTATAGAGGGTGCATCCAATACACATTCTGAAGTGCAATGTACTACAAATAACTTAATGTCTTACTCTTTGTATCTCAGCCGACAGCGCGCCAGTTCTCATGTCCCTGAGTCGCTTACCACCGTCTGGACATCTCGTATGGTTAAGATGCTTTTTATGTGCACGATAACCGCCACCCCTACGGTCCTACAAAGTAAGAAACCAAGCAGTCAAATCTCGCTATCATACACCTGACGTTAACCACGTTTCTGTGATGGAAATGACATCAGAGCTTTCTGTATCCATCACGTTTTTAAGCTCCGCCTTTTTATTTAGTAATCTGCGAGCATTGGTATGACAAACTTTTAATCTTATGAAATACTTTCTTTCCCTACCCAGAGTGGTTCGAGCATCATTCTACTCCGAACTTTTACATTGTGTAAAACTTTAGGTACAAGGTATTTTCATCGTTCCGTCGGTGCTCATTTATTTCTGCCTCTACCGATCGTCTCTGCATACGATCAAGCAGACAGAGGTCAAAACGGGCTCATGTTCCTTATTCAGTCTGTTTGCGTAAATCTTTCAATACAAAGGTTTCTTTCTTCAATGAAAACAAAAGTAAATCTTAATAGGCGACCTGCCTGTGTACTTCCCGAATTCAGTTTCTCTCATTTTTTAGAGTTTATGAATGTTAACTCCTACTGTTGCTTCCAGGAGCAGCTTGGTTAACGAAGACTTAGAATGACTCAAGTCGTTTTCAATATTTTATTTTTCAGAAGAATGATCTCTTGGTTTTGTTTAGTCTGGCTAGCCAAACAGAATTATTACCCACCGCATAATTTTCAAGCCGAGCAGACAAATCTACGCTTGGTTTTAGATTTTCATTATATCGGAATTCAATGTAGGAGCTACTAGACTGGTACATGGTATCAGTCCGTATAATGCATTAACTGGTGAACCGAGGAATGAGTTCTAGACTCGTTTAAGTTCTTGTAGACTTATAACGTATGCTTGTAGATGTCATTTGCTGTAGCTTCATAATGTGCCTTCAAATGTTTGTCTTTTATTCATTTCAGAGTTTAAAATAAATAAACAGTCATTATGAGGTGGATCCCTCTAGAAGCTAATCCTCAGGTATTTTTGCAATTAGTTGGTAATTCTTTAGGTGCTGAATGAAGTACACACTATTTTATAAATGCATTTAATTTCTAACATTATAGTATATGAATAAACTTGGAGTTGTCGAAGAGTCATGGAAATTTATAGACATTTTTAGTCTGGATGATGATATGCTTGCATTTGTACCAGAACCCGTGATAGGCTTATTATTTTTATATCCTGTTGAAACCTCCATTGAAAATGCTTCATTAGGTGTCGAGGATAACTCATCCAAAGTTGTTTTGATCAAACAAACGGTCGGTAATGCTTGTGGAACTATAGCTATATTACATGCCATAGTAAATAATAAACAACATTTAAGCATCAAAGGTAAGTCACGACTTTTTTTCCGTTCGAAATGTTTGAGATTTATCGTACATTCTGGAGATGTCAATCGAACTTATAGTTCAAAACGAAATCTTATCTATGAATATGCTAGACCTCTGTAGGCAGAACTAATTTCTGAAAATAGACGTACATAACACCATGAAATACTTCAGTAAATTTTTGGAGTTTTGTTTTCTGAGCTAGATGATTTATTTGTGGAGCTTTCATCGTTCTTCTGAACAATATCAGCACACACTTCAGGTAGGAGTGAAGTGCTCGAATACGAACATAGTGGCCAACATGTAGGTTGTATCACTCACCCACCAATTCTATATTCTGGTACAACTTCTATTTAAGATTGTTTAATATTCACTACATTATCGGCCAAGTAGGTTTTCAAATGATGGTACTAAATACTTTACTGTTTTTGGCACGTGAAAGTTAGGAAATGCTATAAGACAAAATATGCCATACAACAGATTTCTCAGTTCTTTTTGTAAGACTCATATTGCGTACTTTATACTTTTAACCATCTTATCCTGAGTTTCAATTTCCGATGTTATTTTACCACATTTTCCACTTCATGTTTCCTTTGTATGTCATCAACAGATGGGATTAGAATTAAGCTTTGGCTGATTGGTTTATAACCAGCTATTTATTTCTCATAAACGGTAGTAATAGTAGATTTTAACTATGTTATCTAATATAATATTCCAGATGGTTCCTTTTTGAGCAGCGTTTTAAAGGAATTCGAAAATAAGACACCTGATGAACGTGGAGTTATCGTGGAGAGTCAAGTAATTGGATTCATCCTGATTTATTTTCTCTTCTAGAAAGAAATTTCTGCATTGCATGAGAAGTCTGCACTAGAAGGCCAAACAGAAGTTTGTTCATTTATTTGAATTTTATATTTTGCAATTTTTATTTAGGCACCAAACGCTGAGTCAAAAACTAATTTGCACTTTGTATGTTTTGTTGAGCATGACGGATCTCTATATGAACTCGGTATGTTATGCCTATCGTAAACCTCAGAAATGTAATACTCTTACTGTGTTTTAATACTTAATTTTGATGGATGTAGAAGTGATGAGTAAAAAATGTAGTCGGTGAATTAAAATATAAAAAATGAAGTATGGGGACTTAGGTTTTACTTAACTCAAATGTTATTATATGAAGTAGGATTCAAGGTAATCATAATATTCTAGAAATATCACTCAGTCTTAATCTTATAAAATTTAGTGACTATCGTAATAAATTTATAACTATGGCTCAGTGATGTATACATTTGATTTTTAATCATTGAGCCACACGTTCACATATTATCTCACCTTTTATTTTTCTGAATGGGGTTTTAAGTCCTTATACAGAAAATGTGGTTCTATGATTACAGAAATTTGTTTTTTTTTATTAAGTCGCTTACAAAAATTTGCTAAATTGCTTTCTGAATGAATAGTCATTCTTTTTTATATGTTTGTTTGTGATAACTTATACGATTCTCACGAACTATGTTCAACAGGTATGCCATGATTGATTGGAAAGTTAGTGACCTACAAACTGATTTCCTCTAATTGATTATAATATTTATCATATTACATCATATTACCTTTTACATAATCAAGTCATTTTGTTACATAAAAAATCCATCCTTTTGCCAGTGGTCTTGTTTGTAATTTACAATCCGTGGGTTTACGTCAGTAATTTGGTCTCTTCAGTCAGTCAGCTTCAACATAGGACCAGGCACATATATGCATCGGTCCAAGTTGCCATACCTCATTAGCACAACAAGACGAACACCGGATTCATAGAAGTAGTTAATTCAATGGTGGTAATATATAAAAGAAAGATTGCATATAAGAAGATAGTACAGGAAGAAAGAATTAGTTCGTAGAAAGAAAGATATGAAGCGATTTTAATCACTTAGTCTAAAGGAAGACAGAGAGTGTATACACCTACGCCATTGTGATCGATTCTGAGTCATGTCACCAAGAGTCTCCAACCATTGATTACGATAGTCACGCGGACCCCAACCAGGCAGTCTGCATCTACCAACATGGATCAGACCAGAAGTTGGTGACTTCAAGCACTGATACCACGTTTTGGTTTGGCCACCCCTAACTTTCTTCCAACCACCGCTAATACCGGTTAACATTGCGCGTCGAGGTAATCGGTGTTCAGGCATACGCAACACGTGGCCCAACCATCTCAGTCGATGAAGATTCATAACCTCATCAACTGATTTGCCATCATTCCCTAATACCCTGCGTCTAACCTCACTATTACTTACCCGGTGATCCCAGCACATACCCGCAATATTTCTAAGGCACCTGTGGTCAAATACTAGTAACTTACGAATATCTTCTACTCTTGAAGGCCATGTTTTGCAGCCGTATAGTAGAAAGGAACGAACTGCCGCGCAGTATACTCGTCCCTTAATTGATAGGCGGATATTTGGCCTTCGCCATAGGCTATTGGCAAAAGCCAAACGAGCTTTCCGAATCCGTGCTGAGATTTCGTCAGACACCAACCCATTAGGGCTGATCAGATTTCCAAGATAAGTGAAGTTGTCAACGCGTCCGACTATCTCAGTCGATGTAGATTCACGACCTCATCAACTGACTTACCATCATTCCTTAATATATTGCGTCTAACCTTACTATCACTTACCCGGTGATCCCAGGAGATGTGAGTAATATTTCTAGGGCGTCTATGATCAAATACTAGTAACTTATGCGTATTCCTTTCTCTTAGTAGACGAATATCTCGCCTTCGCCGTAGGTGACGTAAGTTGTCAAAAGCCAATAGGCTTTTGGGGTCCGTGCAGAGATTTCGTTAGATACCAACCCATTAGGGCTGATCAGATTTCCAAGATAAGTGAAGTTGTCAACGCGTCCGACTACTACAGTCTTCAGGTGTTGAGACAGTCCAGTGCTGAAAGAACAATTTGCATTTAGAGAGGGAGAAATGCTTCGCAAACATCCTAGCGTTGTTGCTCAATGCTATCAAAAGACTCAGCACTTTATCAGTATCTTCACCGTACAGGACCACGCATCTGCGTATTCTAAGTCGATTAGTCGACCTCGTGGTAGGAGATCAATACCCGAGGATTCAGTCGACGTGGACGTTATTTCCATCAGTACATCTATGATGAAATTAAACAGAAATGGTGATAGTGAACAGCCTCACGGGACACCACTTGAGGTTGCAAAAGCAGATGACAGTTTGCCATAAATTCTGACTCGACTAGTAGTGTTCGAGTAAATAGTCTTCACAAGGTTTATGTACTTCTGGGGTGCACCTTTCAATAACAAACTGCCACAGAACCTCTCAGTCTACAGAGTCAAATACTACTTTTAAGTGAAGAAAGACCACTATTGTTGGACTCTGTTAAGCATACACGTGTTTCTGAATCTAACGAATGGTTAACATGTGGTCGATGCAGCCACTACCAGGTCTGAAGCCAGCTTGATTTTCTCGTGTTTGCAGTTCACGAGTCTTAGTTAGGCGTCCGATAATTATTGGAGTTAATATTTTAGATGCTATATTAGTCAAAATAATCCCTTTATGGTTATCACAGAGTGACTTCGATTCTATCTCTTTTACTTTCGTTGCCCATCACTGCTCACGATCATTCCTTAGACTTTTGCTTAACCTTGATCTGATTTATTTCCTCTCGGTGTCGTGGTATGAAAGAAAGCAGCAAAGGGCTAGCTTCTGTTGGTTCTTCACGACTCCCTGGTTGGGGTCCGAAAGACGGTGTAACGCAGTGGCTAGAGACGTTATCAGATATGGCTCAGAATAGAAGCCAGTGGCGATCCTGCTGTAACCTTCTTTTACTTTCTTCATAAAAAGTGTTTGTATCTTCTTTAACTGAAAGATCTCTTCTGATTGTACCTTTCCGTTTTCCCCATCATTGTTCTCTCTCTCTTTTTTTTGTATTTATCTATAATTCCCCACGTTCATTACTTTTTTTTCTCCTCTTCAAATTATCATTGTTTTGTGTGGCGCATATATATTTGGTGCCCCCCTGTACCAATATTTATGTGTTCAAATAAAATAAATTATTTCCTCTCTTCATCGTGTTCAGATCCTAATGGGATGAGCTTACGCGAATCCATCAGTGCAATAGACCTTAAAAAAATGCATCCGTTCTTTGTAACCCTTTGGTTTAAATCACTAATAGATGTCACTGATGTTTCCACAGCTAATTGCATATCTTTCCAATCAACATCTGGGTCAGCCTCGTTTTCAGAACTACCTAAGTGTGACCTCAATTTTTCTTGGAACCTTTTGGTTTTCTCGTCACTCAATTCAATTCTAATGGGTCTTTTTAATGTGGCTTTTTCGCGTCCAGTGAGACGCAAGCAGATGTATGGTCGGAGTCCAAACAGGTACTCCAGAATGGGTGATATTCTTCTATCGACCCCCTCCAAAGATGACTGATGGCAATATGGTCTATTTGAGTCCATCGTTGGTTTGGTGCAGGGGGTCGCCATGTTAGACGATGTCTATCCTTATGCCTAAAATTAGTGTTTGATAAAAATAAACGGTTGTCTGAGCACAATTGCAGCAGACGATCACCATTATATGTTCGCTGTGCCGGAATACTATAATACCCACCTAAATGTCTTTCTGTTTCGTTTAAGCTACCTGCCTAGGCATTGAAGTCACCTGCTATGAGTACTATGTCTGGACGTTTAGCTTTCTGAAGAAGTTCAGACAGCTTTCTGTAAAATTCATCTTTCACTTCATCCGAGCTGCAGTCAGTGAGAGCGTAGGCAGAAACGACGAAAAAGCAACGACGTGTGTTTTTATCCTTCCGAGTTCTTACGGAGCCGTTTAGCCGAACAGCGCATAGACGACTTTACGGGCATCCATTCTAATAGCGCTTGTTCCGCCCTCACGCTTAGTGCTATGCCTACACCTGCCAGTCTACGAGAACTAGCCATCGGGTCGCCAGATACACGGAGGGTGTATTTCGTTGGCTCTCCGTTTTTGTCGAGGTGAGGTCAAGTGAATGACCACACTAGGATCCTGTATGCATGTTTCGGAGACACAGCATACATCAATGGTACGAGATTCCAGGGTTTTAGCCAAGGAAGCCTGCTGACCGATTTGACATAGTGTGCGTACGTTGAAGGCTCCAATGTGTAGTTTGGAGCGAGGTTTCAGTAGACCTGGGACAGTGTTTTGCTCACTAGAATCATTGGCTAAGGTGACACTAGAGGAGGAAGCCAAAAGAGGAAGTTTAGATTTGAACGTCGATTTAAGAGGAATAATAGGGATTGAAGAGGGAGGTTGATTATGAATACAGTGGTCTTGAGTGCTGTTAGAGGTATGAGGACGGTTATCACTTCCCGGTTGCCCACACCTTGGAAGGGTCCTTTTGGAGGTACCTGAAAAGTAAATTGGGTTAGAGGTGGTCTTAGTGACCTGAGGGCGTGACCGTAGCGCTCAAGGGATAGCTGCTTTAGGTAGGTCACACACGACCTTTTTATGATTAGTTTTTGTGTCAGCTCCGTACTTGTTAAGACTTTAACGCCGGAGACGGATATCCGTGGGATTAGTCGGGGTGTGCATTTTCAGGGTCGACCTTTTCTAACCCCACCCCTCTTTGTGGGAAGGCAGCATCGCTGTTATGCTGGTTGTCTGAAGGAAACACCTTACTGCTGTCACAACTCTGTACAGTGAACAGTACGACTTTGCCTTCGGACCTTGGATTTGTTGATTTTAGTCTTACCGCTCTTCAACCGACCTGTCTGGCATGGTAGGACCTTGAGGAACGGTTGTTCCAGCCAGTATAGCTCAGTTGCTTCATCACGATAGGCAAGCCCGACCACCAAGTCAAACTAGCAACAAAGGTCAGCCGCATCGAATCATTGAATGTTATCGATCGATCAGTATTTTAATTATTGATTATAACAATAGAAAATTCGTTCATCAAACTATAAAACCCTAATCCATAAAAATAGTATCACCATGGTTATTCATACAATTAAGTATTGACAGAAATAAATCTATTTAACTATTTTAAATTAGCTATCTCCTTAACTTCCTTAGAAATAAAGCTTATTCATTTCTACAAAATTTAAAATAAGTTCTGACCATCATGAGTATTGTACTTTAAGTTTAGAGGTCAATCTTCAGTTTAACTGCGAATTTATCACAATCTAGTAATTGACTCATCCAGTAAATGTAGGTATGACAGTAGCAAAGATTTTATTATTGGCTGCACTCAATGTTCACTTCTGAGCACTCATTTTGAATAATGATAATTGGTGTGGAATAATGGTTTGCTGTATAAAGCATTGAATTTTCAGCCATTAGGATGAACGTTTAAATTTTTAGTTTTGACTAGCCGCGTACTATTTTTGGCCCTCACACAACATAGCTTACAAACGAGCAAATGAATCTACATGACTGCTAAGTCATATAAATGAAGAATAATCGATTTTAACTGAATAATTATTAGTTTTTCTCTAAGTATTAACTCATTTGCTTTTTTTCCGTGATATGAGACTATGATATGTTTTTGGTTTCTTGGTTTTTGAGGATGTTTCTTTCTTTATGATCACAGTCACCATCAAAATAATGCAGTTTACGAGCACAAATCTATTCAGGATCGAATAAAAGTTTAGTTATTCTGATCTTTTGTCACATTTATTCAAAATTCATTATCACAATAGATGATAAAAACATTTTTACTTACATGTGTGCAGATTTTATTTTCACAAAAAGCGGTTTAAAGATTGTCATGTAATGGAACTCGAAAATATATTCTCATAGCTTGAGATAGACCATACTGTTGTCATTTCATCAAATTTTTAGTGTGGAAAAGAACTGTGCTAGAACAAAGCTCACCAGACGTTAAACAAACTTGTTTTTTTATGGCTGAATCATATTTTGTGGAACAAGCAATACTTTTGTCCGATTTGCTAGTCAGGATCAGATCTAATTATTTTAGTTCCATAACCCAGACTATTTTGATGGAATGCTTAAGGTCTATAATAACAATCCCAACAAATTTTTATCAATATTTTCTCTAAACACTTCTTTCTCCAGTGGCGAATAAATTTGTAAACAGATATTGTCCCTTATGAAATTATTATTCATCAAGTGATTATAATCAAATGGAAGTTTAAGGTAATTGAAGTGCAGTCGTACATTCGAATTTAATAGTCAAAGAATTCCTCTGTATATGGTTAGTATAATCGCTTGTCATTTATCATACTTTTAACTCCAATAGTATACTCTTGTGTTTCTTATCAGATTTAAAATTATTTTAATATTTTATTCTAGATGGTCGAAAAAATGCACCCATTCTCCATGGATCGATAACATCAGCTGGTTTTCTGCGAGATGCATGCAATGTAGTCAAAAAGTTCATCACTTGTTTACCTGGAAGTGTAGAATTCAGTTTGATGGGATTATGTTCTCATAATAACTGACTATAATAATTAATTTTTCTGTGTTTTTTTGCACTGTATCTCCGTTTCAACTACTTGTAACACGTCGCTTCACTGCATTTTGTGGTATACATTGCTATTTGATTTTTGTACGATTTCTATGATTTAAAAACAAATCAGTCATACATTGTTTATGTTTCTTATACAATTGTTTAATAAAATGTTTTGTGTAGTTGAAATAATGAAACGAAAAACAATGTGATGTATGATAGTAGAATTACATAAATACCATTAGTTGTAAACTTAAGGCATAAGTTTAACAGATCTCTTGGTGGTAAAACAATTTAACAAAATAAAAATATCCATACATGGAGATATGATATGTGTCCGTGAGTTTCTAAAGCGCCCGTCTTTTTCTTATTTGTATGCATTATCACGCATTTTTCTCTCGCTTAATGGGTTAATGTAGAATGCAGGAGCATAATTTTCACTAAGAATTTCAGGCTCCAACTTTCACTTTGTTTACTTTTTTCATCCGATAATTTGGGCTACGATACAATGGCATAGCTTCAGAGGATTGAAATGAAATCCCCGGTAAGAATTATGGCTTTATGTGCAATACATACATGAAATGAACAAGGAAACTCTAGATATTATACTTTTATAGAACAAGAAGTGGATACTCAACGTCCAGTTTAGGTTGGTGGATACTGAATGTCTCCCTTGTAGTATTGAGAAACCCTGGATTCCAACTAGTTGTGCACATGTAATCCTGAAATATGAGTGGACAAATAAACTGATTTCAATCGGATTGCTTTTGACGTTGGGACAACTTTGCTTATTCGATCTTGCGATCAAAGGCTTGGGGTGATCCCTGAGGAAACCACTCGCTCTGATTTGGACGTTCTGAGTTTATCACTTATTACACAAAAATAATGATAACGAATAAATGAACCGAAATATTTTATAATAGAAGTCAATAAATCATAACCATAAATTGTATACTACAGAAGGCTCGTCAATAATGTTAAGCATTAAAAAAGTGACAAATTTCGTAAATAGAAATCTAGGTAAAGTACATATTCAAACATATATAGATTATGAAAGGAATTTTCTTCACAAACTGACATAATTTAGAGAAACAATAGATATCAAGGATCACTGAACAATCTCTTCTTAGCTGTTTTGTACACCTTAACAATATAGAGTTAAATCTTCACCTAGGATTGAGCGCTACATTCTGCAATGTCTCTATATGCATAAAATTACTCAATCATTAAATTCCAATCAAATGGTTATTACTGATACAAAATTATTCATATCCTTGTCCTTGTAATTTTTATAGTTTCTTTTCAATTATTAAATCCTACCAGTTTTGAATGAGACATATGTAATTTATTTACTTATACAAGTATTTGTTTTCAGATTAAATTTATGTTGAATAAACTTTCACGTGATACTTCATATAAATATTGTAGTAGTTCAATCCATTGTTCTATTTTTTTGTTTGTTTTATTTAGTTATAATAATACTGTGAACTGTATAAAATATTCTAATTAAAAAGTTAATTATGGTTGAGGGTATAAAAGTAACTGTACCTAGTAGTAGTAATAACTTATTATATTCATTAACATCTCATACATTTCAACCGATCATTGATTTTTATAGTATTCCATGTTCCTTCTAACAATGATCAATTTTAATTTAAGCGTTTAATAGTGAATCCAATTATTTTTAAATTTTGATTGAGATCATGAACTGATTGATATTAGACCACCAGTGAAAACCTGGAAGCACTGGACGGCTGTTTAGTCCTGTTGTGGAACTCCTCAGCAGTGTGCATCCACGATCCCGCTCGCGGGATTCGAACTCAGGGCCTTCAGTCTCGCGCGCAAACCCTTAACCCACTGAGCCGGCATCCAATAGTGTTAATGTCTAACCTTAATACTATTTATGAATAAAGGAAAATCTTGTTGCTGAACTAGAAAATTTTAATTTTATTGCTTCGGTATGGTTTTTTAGATTGGCAAATATTTTATTTGAACGCTACACATCAGAGTATCCACAAGTCTATATTTAAACCAAATATAGCTTGATGGTTAAATGCAGATGATACGAAACCCCTGTACTACTTGCTTGTAGTTAATAAATCATAAGAGAATTAATGTTCCATGTAGTATTCAAACTCGCATCACCAATTTTTCCTCCTATCTCCAATCATTCAATCTCTCGACATTTTGCATGCGATGCATGGCCAGTTGGACTGGAGGTAATATTTCAATATGATCGATAGGACTCGATCAGCATTTCAGACTAGACATGTTATATGGATGATATATTTCGGAATGATTGATCGACGTCATTTGCTAGGGTCGCAAATCAAAATGTTGACCATAATTTTCAAATCCCTCATCTGCTATTCTGTCATTGGTCTAGCGTATTTATTTTTAATAAATAGATAATACACTCTGACCGAAAAAAGTTACGTTGAGCTAACGTAAGCTGAGCATCTATTAGTCTACCTCCTACCCCCAACCTCGAGTTCGACAAAAGTCTGCAGTCAGGTTTTTATACTATATTTCCATAAATCAACCCAGCAGCTCTCTCAAGTATTCATTAATTTGTATACATGAAAAATCAAACTAGATCACACCGTTATTACACAAATATGCCGAAATTGGCTGTACACCAAGCAAACTGTAAATTATTTCGAAGTGATAAAAAGTATAGTATTAGTTAATATGTCAAACGGAAAATTAAAATTAGCGAAATATAGAAGCAGTGTTCCAGTTACTTAGTAATTATAGAGTAAAACTATCCATAACAATATTTTGAAAAGTAGTTCCAAAATTTACAACCCGTTCATTTATATCAATATTCGTCACTAATACTGCTACTACTACCACTACTACTACTACTACTACAGTAGCGGGAAGTAAAATATATTCATTTAGGATATATGTACTTATATCAAGATTATGGTGCATTTAACCTAATGATTCATAATTCGGTGGTTCATATTGTATGATCCCTATCCAATGTTACCAGCTCTCGATTTGGCTGGGTTTTGTAGATCGCGTTATATCCTTAAATGATTGAAGTTGGAAGTGTACGCTGATGGATCCCAACTGAGCTTTTGCTACGAAACCTTAAGTCCCTGAAATATATCCTTTGAAGTGTCATGGGTGCATACCCCTGAAGAGCCTCATACAAAAACGGAACAGCCTTTTCCTTTTCTCTGGTTTTGAATTGTACTGCAGCTGATCTCACTTCATGACGAATACCATATACAAGTATTGAGGAACAATCTCCAAATAACAAGGAAAATCAATAAACTTATTCATTTAAAACATATATGTAACCTCAATTTTCGAAACGGAATGATTAGTTGAAGATCACAAGCTGTCTTTTGAATGATAATTTAAGATAAATTATTCAAAATAGATAAAAGTATCTCAGTTACTCAATCTTGAATGGGAAAATTAAACCCTAATTTATTGGGACACTGTGTAAATGACTTTTTCAGAAAAAAACCAATGTGAAATAAGTTTAATTAGAAAAAGAAACAAATTGAATAATATAACAAATACAACCACGCTTACATATAGTGAAAAATGTGATTCATTTTGAATTTTTAATGGTGCATATGTATTGGTGTGTTAATGACAGATTAAGCTCTAACTGGTTGATTCGATCTGTCATCTTAATGGTGGCATGATTTTAAACAAGTTGTTTGTTTACACAGATCATCCGATTGAATTGGATACTTAACAGATTTTATTTAAGGCAATAAGTTTTAACATGACGTGAAATATGTTAATTGATCATCTTCCTTTTTAGATGAAACATTTTATTTTATTCAGATATTTTCCATCTAGATATAATATTTACGGAATATGATATAACCAGCTAATGTTGGTATATTACATTTCTTTTCTAAGTTTTGTAGGATCATTATGAGATCTTTCATTATAACTTGAGTGTTTTTCAAACAAGATTTTACGACACGATACTAGAATGTGAAATGTATTATAATTATCAGCACTTGTATTTTATACGAACTAGAATATTTCAACAATCTCTACAACCCACTGTATCATAAAGCTGAGAATTTGTTTGTTATTGGATAGAAAGATTTAATTGTTTACTGTTTTAGAATTTGTTTTAATACGTTTGTTATAACTTAGTGGCATTATGAAACTAAAGCATCAATTCATGGGTTTTCTTCAGGTTTTCCTTTCAAGAACTAACTGTTTTTTTTTCAAACATAGTTTCAATAATATTCGTTGGAAAACTATTTCGATTGTAATACACTTATTATACAGCTTTTGCTCATTTTGTTCTGTTATAATTTTAGTTGTTCTACTGAGTGAATTGAGGTATAACTATAGTTTAGTTTTAGAAAGAACTTGTTTCTCATCACCAAGAATGGCTACAATGAGTGTTCCACTAAAAAGCAGTCTTGAAATATGAATTCAGTTTTGTTTTTTTTGAAAGTATGAATTTGATATTAGAGTAATAATTATTGATAATTTTAATAGTTGAGATTGTAGTGACCTACTTTTGGTTTAATGGAAACAATCATTATTATAACCAATTGTACCAGTGATTGTTTTACTGTGCTTGCTTGTTTAACTGTACTAGTGACAGCCATTACACTCACTCTCCCGTTGACTTTGAACTTGTACGAATTCGGTTACGCTTAGTAACCACGATTGTACTCCTTTGGCACGATCTCGGTATTCTTTCGATACCACGAGATCGCCAACAAATACATCTCGACTACAGCCACCAACTGCCTTCTGATATTGGCCTACAGGGATCTTATTGGTTAACTGGCACGTAGTCATCTTGTAGTGGTGATAATAGTCAACCGCGACTCAACACCACGCTACAAGATCATAAGTCAATTGAAACTAGATCACTATGGAAAACCTTGACGGATTCTATCCCGTGTCGCCCAGCTTCACAGTCAGAGACGTTACCACTGAGCTATCCGGGCCGCGACCGACCTCCTGTAGGACTGAGATGTAATCATAATTGATCGATAGCATTCGACCTGCACTAAGAGGGACTTGACACACGTGACATTGATCACCACCCAGTGAGTACCCCTTTCTATATTTTCATAAAATAGAAGTATCTAATCCATTTATTATAAATAAGTTAAAGTTCACGAACCAAAACATCATATGATTTAGAATGAATACCAGGTTTATGAATTATACGTAAAATTTTGATCCAGTTGATCAATGTTTTGACTATGTAAAACCTAATCGATTACAATCTTGGAATAGATTTTTAGTTTAATTACTTCATTTATTCTCATAAATATCTTTCAGTTATTTTTGTCATACTAAAACAACTCTTCACTAGTTAGAATTCTCTCTCTTTTTTCTATCTATTTTTCTTTAATAGAACCTGTAATTAAATTGATCTCGAAAATTGATGTGATGCCTAGATTAGTACACACTTTCTGTTCACGTATTTCAATTGTTTTTTTCCTAATTATAATCAATACACCTAGTATTTCAGTATCACCGATATAACCATTTCATTACTTACCTTCTTACTAATTACCTTTCTACATATGTTCTGAAGTTAGATGTAAGAATTCGAATGGAGACACATTTGTACCAGGTTTAATACTGACTAATCTGAAAAATGTACAAACGACAATTCATTATCCATTCAATATATAATTGATATAACGGGAAGAAAAGTCAAATTAGATTGGTTTACTTATCATGGTTTTCGTTTGATATCAATTCCGTTTTAAATCAATGTGATAATTGCTTAATGGATCATTTGTTTTATTTTCCCATATGACATTTTATTCTGTATAACATACGATATTCGTGTATTCAGTTGACATGAACTAATCTCAGTATGTGATTTGTTATATCTGTAATTATTTTTCATATGTGTGATTTTATCCTAATTATTAATCAAAAATGGGTGTATGATTCAATATATAAATGAGTGTACTTCTGACTAGACTTGTCGTGATTGTTCGTGCTTCTGACTGCTCGTGAAAAATATTTCCCAGTTGGGAACTTGAACTTCTCTCTCTAGTTAGCGTGGCTGGGACTCGTCGAAATAGCTAGCTAATCTGTTATTATGTCACAGGTTCTTCGTTCCATTCTCAGATTAGGTGAACTCGTAATCTCTTCAAACATAACAATAATGATAGTTATATTCAACACAGAAACTACCATTGATTATATGACAATGAAATTCTAAAATGATACATCTGTTTGTTGGGGATGTTAGATCCCCGGAATTCACTTCGTAAATGTCTTGTTTTTGTAATTTTATTTTGAAAATTTGACTTTCTTGTTTTTGCACCAAAAACGCCCATTTTCACATTCATACTGTATTTCCCACTTGACAGGACCATAAATATCATTGGTTCGTTGTCTCTTTTAATATGCTATTTTATGACATTTACGTAGGACATTGTTATGTTGTATATATATGCTTGAGTTGTGATTGTTATTATAGTTCGTGCTTCTGACTGCTTGTGGAATATATTTCCC